ATATGCTATGCTAAGTTTGGCCTTTTACTAATGGTATGAATTTGGACAACATATTTCACTTCACTGAGCCAGCTTCCTTACTGGAAAATGAGAATAATAATAGCTTTCCTGCACAGGGTTGATATGAAATGTAAATGGGAAAATAAAGTGACTTATAATAGGTGCTAGGTGAAATGTTACTCCATCTCAGGCTTAGATCACAAATTATAACAGAAGGTCCATGCTGGCTTTTTTATGATGACTGATAAATAGTTGATTGAAAATTATTTAGTTGAGTTAATTTGATGGCTGGTAATCAAACATTTTAGCCATTTCTATTCTTTGTAAGAAGAAATTAACTCTTAATGCTTTGTAATTATAATTAAATGAATATTTTTCAGTATTCCCATTTCCTAAGTAGATAATTGTGATTAAATTGAACCTTGTAACAACTATCAATATATAAAGGTCATCTTTATTTAGAAGAATTTGTTCCAAATGATTATATTTTGGCAAACTACATTGAGGGTGTATCAAATTAATCCTACCTTTTATATCCCACCTCTCAGATGGTTGCTGAATATCATATTTGCAAAGAATGCTAAATGTCTGGATAGGCTGAAAATGTTTTGTGTTATTATATTATTACAAGTAGAAAAGCAAAGGTCAGGTGATTTTGGTGGTTGAAAAGGGGGAAAAAAGCAATTATAAATACAATGCTTGTGATTCATTAGTGAATTAAATAGAAAAAAGAAGTTAAATTAAATTCAGCTGTTGTAGGAAGAATATAAATCTTTCTCATCTGCCACGGAAGCTTACCTTATTTTCTCATTTAGAAGAGCTCACTGATTATAAAATTCAATATTGATTAATGAATCTTTCAAGGAAAATAACCCATCAGATTAAATGCATTGATCAATTTTTTAATATTTCTTCATTTCAGATATGATAAAATATAGAAACCACATATGTTTTAGAATAATGGAAATATGATATGTTGCATCTGAGTTGGAAGAACTTGAAAGAATGAAGTCTTCTTAGTTTATTATTGGAAATAAAATTAAGATAAGGATCATCTTGGGTTACTATGATTCTTATTAACTCTATGTATCATCTTTTTATATTCCTTACCCCCACTCACAAACTAAGAAACTTAAGAAAATGGAGATGGTCTACTTCCCAGTTATGGTCATATTGTCAATAGTATTACTGAAAAAAAATAAAGGAAAATAAAAAATTATTCAATATTCTGCAACAATGACATCAAAGAGCACTACAGTTAGATACAATCCACCAGACTAATTTTTTTTTCTAAAAGGTTTAAATATCAGAACTACTCTCAGCTTACATATCATCATGCAAATAAATATGTGACTGTCAATCTGGAATGAATAAAGTAGAGCCTCTAGAATAGACTTATTTTTAAAATTTCCACTTTGAATTTTTATGCAGGGGGATTTAGGGAATACTATGGAGAAGAGATTGGGGGATCTCTGAGGGTAGGCTCTACCATATACAAGTACATTCTCTGATCTCCAAGAAGTTCTTGGAACATGGCTGAAAGTTGCTAAATATGTGTTAAGGAATAATAAATAGAATGTGCTAAAGTTCTGATATGACTTAAAATCATTGGAAGAGGTTATATCAGGACAAATTAGTTATTATGAATAAATCAGAAAAAAATATCACAGGGAATTAGTGTACTCACAAAGGATGGTGCTATCCAAACATTTCACTGAGTTCTCACTGAATGTTCAGTAACAAGTAATCAATTTTAAGACCCTTTGTAGATTTTATTTTTAATCTAATTTTGCTTAAGGGAAGAGGACTAAAGCTGATTAATTTCAGAAATGTAAACAGAGCACATGAACATCATTTAATTTAAAGTTATACATTTATACAGAAAATTTCATTTCCGTAAATGCTGAATGACCAAAAAGGTTGAAAGTATTGATAATTGCAGTGTAGGGAGGAAGGGAGGAAGGGAGAGAGGGGACGAAGGGAGAGAGGGGAGGACGAAAGGAGTTCTTTCAGCAATTAGTGCAAGTGCCAGACATTTCCGATAGTGTTAAAATCTCACACAGCTGGAGTCACAAAGCCAGCAGCTGTTAAATATGCTCTATATGTTTAGAGGTGCCTCTGTACATGCATACGTAACATAAATAACTCACAGGGCTTGAAAGATAGTGTCAAATAAATATGCCATTGAGAAGTCCTGAGCTTGGACTTTATAATAAAGACATGGTGGATACTCACAAACATAGACTGTGATCTTCCAAATTCAGTTTCACACTATATTTAATGAACTGAAGTATGCATTATATGTAATTAAAGCTCTAAATCATGTAGTCTTCTAACACTCAAAGCATGGAATTCTTGTAGCAAAAGGTAGACTGCTTCACTAAGCTTTGTTTCTGTTCTTGCTGCAGCTCTTTATTGTCAAATCTATCTTCTGCTGTCATGAGTTACAATCTCTTTTTTTATACTAATCTTTATGGGGCTCTATGAAGGTTAGATGTCCAGAGCAAATAAATTTGTGTCTTCTCTGCTTCAACTAGCATTTTATATTTGTAAAATGAGGCAAAATAGACATCAAATATAGCCTTGATAGGTTGCCTTGAAGAACCATTCTTATATGTGTCCAACAGAGGTTGTGTTTTGAGTTAACCAGTCCCAATACATTTTAGGTGTGTGAGCCCCTCCTTTCTCTTTAGTGGGACTACCTATTTTTACCAAACTTGACAATAGACAATATCTAATTGAGCTTTCCCCTGTGGAGAGCGCTGTCTATGAAACTTAACATAATGATTTTGGCATTCTTTCTTATTGAGTCTCAGAGTCTTTCTCAAAATAATGTTTCAGGTTGCCAACTTACCAACCAGTCGAGGTCAAAATAGCAGTTAAAGGCGATTTTTGCATCCCTCGACTACATGATCTCAAAATTGCCTTTCAGGTCTAACATCATATGGTTTTTCGAGTGCAATTTTTGATGATTTCTATTTTGATTTTAGGGGAAACTTTAGTTATTCTTGCTAATGAAGGTAGCAGGATGAAAAATACCAAATAGTAGATAATCTAAAAATATATTATATAATAGTAACTTTTTCTAGTATTTACTTAGCTTGTGCCCTTATTAACAGAGGTTAATAGGAAGTAGCATAGTTAATTGGAAGAAGTTAGAGATTATATGCTATAGAAAATTTATCTGCTAAATAATGATAAATTTATGATACTTCAGAGTTTATCTTTCTAATCTTAGAATAAAATACACAATTTTCATGTAATTTTATAAGTGACAGAATACAATGCTAAAACTGATTGTTTTTTATCTCAAACTTATTTATAACATTTTAACTTTTGTGGTAGATTTACATAAAATGTCATATTTATTTGATCATTTTTAATTAGTGTAATCTAAAGGTAGAATTAAACTTTGTGAACCTTAAGGCTCTCTACTTATTTAAATTTTAAATGATAAATACCTCAAGCTTTTAATCAAAATCTGTTTTAAAAAGTGAATTTCTATTTGCTTATATAAATCAGTAATGATATTATTTACTACAATAATAAAACAAAATTTTGACCACTGTTTTTGCATAAATTTATTGAAAGTCTGACTATAAATTCATGTTGTTTTCTACAAGTGATGAGCTCATTAACATGAGTAGGTTATATGCTTTTTACTGAAACTTCAACCTCAATCTGGTATGGTCTAAAGAGTATTTATCCCAGATGCTATCTTTTGCATTTATTTGAAACCACATAACCTCTCTCATCCTTGAAAATGATATTCCTAATAATTATTAATTTATTTTGTATGTATTAGTTGGCTTAACATTAACCATAATAAATTCATTTGATATTTATATGCATATCATTAGTACTTCTAAACTTACACTTTGTCAGCTTTCATTAACTGGCCAATTAATTGCATGTAGGTACTTATTATCTACGTTTTCCTTTGAATTTTTAAAAATTGTGTAAAACAATTCACAGTAAGATCTAAATACCAAGAATGTTATATCTAGAATGCATAAAATGTAGAATAAAGACCCGGCCAATTATAATCACTGACCTTCTGAAATGGAATTTATTTTGCCTCAATTCCTTCTGAATTTACTTTTATTTTTTTTAACATCTTGCCTTTAAAGACTGTCATTCTGAGATATTACTTCTTAACTCTTTTTTTGCTATGTATGTTGTGTCTTTGTATTTACTTATAATTTATATTTGAGCTAGGTTTAAATATATTTTGAGTATTTTTTAAGTAAACATATACAGAATAGTTAAAATGAAATTAAAACAGAAATCATAAATCATATAGTAGAATTAGAAATAATTTAGCCAGACAAGAGAATGAGATAGTTGCTGGAATTTAGTATTTGATTTGATTTGACCATGAATTTTCTGACTTGTCAAAGCAAAGAACAAAAACATTTCCATTTCTCTAGTATAGTAAAAGAGACAGAGTATTATCAAAGTGTTAGATTCCAGATGGCTGTCTTCTGTTGCCAGAAATGCTCGAACCATTCATTCATCAGTTTACATATGATCTCCTTTTTGAAAACCTTGTATTGTGTACTCAGTAATAGATTATCTTTTCTCTCAATTATACATTGATACTCATAAAAAATATAGTTATCACTAATTGAATGCCTATCATCTGAGAGGCAAATAACAGACACTGAATTATCTCCAATCCTTACAATAATCCTGCAAGATTCATGTTATTTTACCCTCTTTATAGATGATGGAACTGAGACCAAGAGAAGCTAAATAATTTGTGCAAGATCAAATAGCCAAAAGGGCAGAATTCTTACACTGAATTCCAATAGCACTTTGTAATTTGAGGGATGTCCTCAAATAGAATGTTCCTTTAAAATTGTTTTCTCATAGTTGTGTAATAACTTCATAAGCTTTATTTACTGCTCCTCAAAATAAAAAAGGAAGGAAGGAAGGAAGGAAGGAAGGAAGGAAGGAAGGAAGGAAGGAAGGAAGGAAGGAAAGAAAATATATAAAACTCATTGACATTTGATCATTACTGTGCTTTCTTGCAGCCTGCGAACTTATGAATCAAGGCATCTTGGCCCTGGTCAGCTCCATTGGCTGCACATCTGCGGGGTCCCTCCAGTCTTTGGCAGATGCCATGCATATCCCCCACCTCTTCATCCAGCGTGCAACAGCTGGGACCCCAAGGAGTGGCTGTGGACTCACCCGGAGCAACAGAAACGATGACTACACACTCTCTGTTCGCCCACCTGTCTACTTAAATGAGGTTATCCTGAGAGTGATCACAGAGTATGCCTGGCAGAAATTCATTATATTCTATGATAGTGAATATGGTAAGTGCTGGTGATTTGTGTGAGTTTTGTAAGCTGATATTTGCATGGTAAGTAATGTCATTAAACCCTGAAAAACTTTAAGAAGATTACTCATTGTTGTTGTGGTTTCTTTATCCTGTCATAGTCTTCTTATAAATCTAGCAGCAACAACAAAAATTTTCAGATAAAGTTCAATCCCTTTGAAGTCAGATTTAAAAATAAATGCCTGTACCTAATGCTCAGTCTATTAGTGTCTCTAAAGGGAATTTGACTCCAATATACCATGATGTTTCAAACAATAGAAGTCATAAAGACAATATTGTCTTTCTGAAAAGCAAATCTCTTATAATAATAAAAGACCACTTTGGACAGATACTGGAACAGTGAAACTATTGCTTATTTCTATTTATAGGTTCAAAAAAATCTGACATATCTTACTTGTACCCTTGTGCAGACTTTAATATCTGCTTAGTACTTAACTTTTTGGGGGTCACTGATATCATATTACCTTAAAGTTAGCATAGCACACTGTCTACAATATGAAATCTCACAAAAATACTGAGTAGTATAAAGACACTTGATTTGTTTAATTTGCCAAGGTAAAACACAAAGCATTTCTCTAAATTTACTGTAATTTGAGTAGAAAATGCTTTGTCTCAATATTTTTATTTGTGTAACATTAAGAAAAGTAACCAACAATGATATTATTTTTGTTTAAATATTTTTTCCTGAATTTATCTACTTTTATTCTGATTAATCTCAGGATGTTCTCTCTCTTATTTTTTGTTATTGGGGGAGTAGAGATGGATATAAACCATTGAGAGAAAATAACAGAGCTTGATGAAGATCATACAGAGTGCCAAAAAATGTATGCATTTTTTAAGAAAGGAAAAAGCTATTAAAATTGTAATACTCAGTATATACCAATAACAAAAGATGAATACAAGCCACTTTTGACTTCTCCAATTACAAGATGTTCTCAAAGTGTTTACTCAGCATCCAGACATTTCTGATTACAGCAAACTACTGCTTGAGCAACTCTGACCAAAGTGTCCACTTGTATACATTTTTTTGGCATCCCCAGTATATTTTGAAATGTGTTTCTTTATAAATTTACCCTAAGAAGAAATCTCAGAAAAAAATTTCCATGCGGTATGGATGTGTCTAGTTTTTACATTTTTATTAAAAACAAAACCAAAAAAAAAAAAACAAGAACATTTCACCCTTTGTAGGTTAACTTATTTTTCTTAACAAATAAATAAATAAACATTTAAAAGATAATCATTTTCTTGTCACAATCTACCCAGCATTGTGAACAATATTGGTTTGTTCACAAGAGTTTGGTTACACAAGAGTGGGCCAAAAAGTGGCATCAATAGAACTGAGCACAAACAGGTTGGCAGAAATCTGGAAAGCAACAAATAAGAGTCCCTGTGGACTCCCAGCGAGGGAGAGCAAGTGGTAGTTACATTTAGCCCTAAATATTTAAAGGTCATATGGGGCTTTGGCAACCAGGGTCACATTAAACTTGATGGGTAGACTCAGCCAAAAGTCTGTGGCTCTTTCTAGAAGTACTCTCTTTGTCTCTAGGATGGACATCCTTATTTTTGTTGCTTGATTCATATTACTTAGGGGTCACAGAACAAAGACCAAGAAACTGAAATGAATGAAATAAGCAAAAAGAAAATTAAAAATAATTGGCTCATCAAAAGTAAGGGTTGAACACAAATCTGAACTTCACTGATAGGATTACTAAGTGAACAGTAAACACTTCCAATGGAATCAACATGCTGAGTGTGGCTTTGTCAGTTTCCTCCAGTCAGATTATCTATGGTTTTTACAACCTTAAATGGCATTCTTCTGATTTCTGCTAAAACATAACTTGAAACACTGAATTTTTAAGTCCTAAATTTTTCTGGAAGGGGGAAAAGAAAACCACCTTTTTTGTTAGCCCTATCAAATTAGTCCTGTAAAATAAAGAACAGAAAGTGATTTTGGATGAAGCCATTTTCACACTAAAATGAGAATTTTACTGTTTAATATAAATATCCATGAAGAAAGAAATTGCTTTGTTATCTTATTTCAAATTCCTACATGGATTACAGTTAGGAAATTGTCATAAGATGAGATGGTTTTATTATGGATGAGGCAAATATTTTTGAAAATATACTATAAATTTATAGTCACATGAAATCATTTACATTCATTTGAAATTCCTCATTCTCTTTTCCTCTATTTTCCTTTAAGTAAATAAATGCTATAATCACATTGTGTGACTGGGTCCTCTGTTAGAATCAGGGTTATTTTAGGAATAATAAAAATCATTCTCTTTTATTCTGATGATAAACTTGTTTTGACTTATTATTTAATTTATTAATCATGAAAATATACCTTTTGTGTCATTAAAATTATTTCCAGTAATATTTTTGTTTAATGAAAGAAATTTTCCTTTTTATACTTACAATAAATCTTGCTGGTAAAGAACTGGGCCAGAGTCCAAAATAAATATCAAGCTATCTAAATATCTGGTAACTTGAAGAAGTCTACATGTATTTACATATATATTCATCAATATCATTATTTTAAGTTCAAATATTGGAATTATATTTGACTTTTATCTTAGCCATCAAGAATTGCTTTCATTAAGGAATGGATTAAGCATCATCTATGGATGGAATCAGGCAGCTTGCTAGAGCCAAATGTTACTAAAGAGGTATTTTACTTAGAAAAATATAGTTTTAAAAAAAAAGATTAAGCGTCTATATCCAGTTAATTAGAGCACCACTTTTTTCAAAAGCAGTTAATTATGATTAAGGACACCATATCAATGTCTACTTTAAATTCCCTAACAAAGAAAATTCAAGTCTTTGATTCTCAGTAAATGGATGAAAAGAGAAAAAAAAAAAAAGTGGAAACCTTATTTGAGCGGATTGATTCAAAACATGTTTTAAAAGGCATGAAAAGATTTTAGGAAGTGTTGAGCTTTTAAAAATATATCAATCAGGAAATATTCATTGCTCACTTGCTTAGTGCAATGCTCAATATGAGATAAAAAGTGTTATGGAATGTAGTCTTTGCCTTTAAGAAGCTTACAATTAACAAAAGAGATAAAATATTTATATGACTCTCTTAATAGAGAAAATAATATGTCATGAATGATGCAAACTGAATGCTAGTGGTATATGATAAAAAGAATGTTTAATTTCAGCAGCAGTGATCAAAGGCGCTTTATGGGTGGACTTTGATCTTGACTGTCGCCTCTCAAAATCCTCCCTGTTTTTCACAATGTATAGGAGATGGCTGCAGCAATAGAGGGAAAGTGTGAACAAGAGTTGCAGCGATAAGATATTAAAAATAATGTCTGAGTATTTTTTATTTGCCAGGAACTAGAACAAGTGTTTTACATAATGCCATTTAATCTCCTCAACGGCTCTGATGAACTAAGCAATATTATTATCACAATTTTACAACTGGAAAACAGAAGCAGCTGATGGGTAACTTGCTCACAAAACATAGCTAAAGAGTATCAAACCTGAGAAGTAACGTCTGACCAGAGCATGTAATCCTAAGCATGTATAATGAATATAAAAATGCTGTGGCGAATCATCATCCAAGATTATAACAACAAGGGCTAATCTTTTTTTTTTTTAAAGATTGTATTGGGGAATTAGGGGAGGGGAACAGTGTTGGGGAATTGGGGGAAGGGGAACAGACAAGTTGCTGTCCTTTTGTTCTTCAATCTAGTTGTGGAGGACGTTGTTTCACTGGCCCAAATTGGTGTTATCATTGCGCTCTTCCCAGGTGAGGCAGATCGGTCGCCGGCTTCAGGACAGCCGCTCACAGTGGCTCTTGGCAGCTCACACTGGCTGCCGGCCGCTCACGCTGGCTGCCGGCCACACATGGTAGCTTATGGCAGCCCACTACAGCAGGGGCTACAACCTATGCTGTCGCTGACGACTCATGGCAGCCCAGCTCCAGGTTGAGCTGTTGTTCACCATCTTAGCTGTAGAGGGCTCAGTGTCACTGGCCCTCATGTGGGATCCAAACCAGGGCCCTGCTGCTCAGAGCTGGCGTCCCAAGCCAACTCTAAACCAATGCTCCACTTGGCCGGCCCTGGGCTAATCTTATAGAGAGCATTTATTATATCATTCTCTGTTCTAAGTGCCTTACATGCATTATCTCATTTAATCCTCACAATAGCTCTCTGAGGTAGATGATAATGATGACGATAATGATGATGGTGATGACGATGATTTTTACAAATGAAAGGAACTGAAGTAGTAAGAGGTTAGGTAACTCCAAAGTAAGTCAAGAAGCCTGAATTCAAACACTGATAGCCACATCTATAGTCCTTACTTTCAACACTAGAGTAGTCCAATGCTATCGAAATAAGACTGAGATTAATTTCTAACAAACTGTAAAATTTAAAAAAAAAAGTTTACCAATGAAATGTATAGAATCATCTTTATTGAAAAGAGACAATGGCTGCAAGCCTGCAAATCTTCCACCTATGAATATCATTCAAGGAAAAATACTGGATGTCATTCAGAAGGTTTGATTATCCTTGAAAAGATGAAAACAGGGCAATCATTGGGCCAAAGGGGTCTGAACCCATCAGCCGAAATAGACTCTTGCCTACACAATAACCATTCTTCCTTTTAAATTTGCTAGCAAAATGCCAAACTTATTTGAGAGAGCGTTATTTCCAGTTGAAAACGACATTCTCCAGGAGCTCTTAGAGCTGAGGGTTGTGATATAATATTGTCAAGAACTGTGATGAGGTTGAGATTTTACCCTACTTGCAAACTAATAAGTTAGCCTGCATCAATTTTATAGATACTAGAAGAAAAGATTACCCTCCTGGAATATATATATATATATATATATATATATATATATATATATATATATATATATATGAGAGAGAGAGAGAGAGAGAGAGAGAGAGAGAGAGAGAGAGAGAGAGAGAGAGAGAACTTTAATAGGCATGGCACAGAAAGCAGCATGAGCCTCACATAATG